GTTGATCTACTCAAAGTTTCGAGATATCAACTTCACCTTCGACGTAAAGTTTCGGCGTTGTCTTCGCCTCTTCAACACCCATCAATCTCAACGAGTATCAACAAATATATTTTTCCAGAGGAGGGGGGGGGAGACCAGGAGTGATTTGTTGCACTGTGCGTATAGCATTTCCATGTGGTCTGTCAAGTCCTGAGGACACTGTGAAGCCTAGATTCTAAGCCGACTCATGATGTTAATTTACTTCCCCTTCTTTCTCATTTGTCCGGGACTCGATTAGACTTGCCCCAAAGTAAAGCAGTGCTAGACGAGAGGAGATTGGTAGTTATAAAAGAAGCAGAGGAAGAAGAAGGGAGCCACTCACAATCAGCCAATCAGCCAGGAAGTATCAATGTCATTGATATTCCACGCCCCCGCCCTTGCCGTAGATGTGGGCATCACAATTTTACACGGTTTCGTCGGTTGTTGTTGGCTCGTGGTTGTTTATCGAATGGTATCTTTGGGGGGTCAACTGGCTCTTCTATCTCTTCCATCGACATTTCCTCATTACCCGTCTCTTTCATCCGCGTCCACCGCCACAGAGTATTGGCTATCGCTGGGCGCCGAAATTTTCTTCGCCATCAGTCTCCTCGAGGTAGTCTTCTCCCTCTATTGTCTCTACTTGATTCGACGCGCACGGGCTATGCCTGCGGTGACACCCCGTCCATTGGAGTTCATGACAGATCTGATCATCTATGCCCTTGGAAGTGGGCTCCAATCCGAGCCTTCCTCCTCCCAAGGAACATCGGAGCACCAGAAGAAAGAGCCCGATCAAGACGTGGGAATACCCCCTTCAACCCACTTCATACACAAACCATTAGCATTTGACGACCCAAAGGCGATAGATTTCCGAGACAACCATTCCATCTGGTTCCAAAGCAGTCGCTGGGACGATATCTATCGTGAGAATCACCTCGAATGGCTCTGTGCCGTCCTTCTCAACAAGTCTTTGACGCAGGTGAAGGAGGAAGACAAGCACAAGTCGAAAGAGGAGGCGGCACTACCGCAGTTGCATAAGCTCGTTGTCGCCTACGAGAAACGAGTGGGCACAAGGATGCCGGAGGGATACAACGAATACCTGGGCGATAAAACCATCAAGCTTTTCATCGATCCAATTAGGGTTACTCACAGACCCTTGACACTCTCTTATGGGTTTGCGTGGACTTCTAACGAGATCATCCGGCAGGTCTTGAGATTCAAAGGCTTCAAACTCAAGAGCTGCTCCAATCGAAAAAACGCCCTCAAATACTTCATCCGAATTCCTGCCGCATGGAAAAACTTGCCCTCTGATCAGAGACCCCCGGCCATCCTCTTCATCCACGGAATCGGAATGGGTGAGCCTCATTTCATATACTGATGTTGTGTGAGCATTTAAGAACAAAGGTCTCACTTCCATCTAAACTGTTATCCACAGGATTTCTTCTGTATGTTACTTTAATCCATTACTTGGCTTTTTCTGAGTGGGGCAATCAGAGACCTGTGATGATCTTTGTCCAACCACATATCTCGTGAGTTAGCTTAATGGATCTGATGCACTGAATCAACATTCCATTTTTTAAAAAGATTAAAAAGTGAGAAAATTCTGATGTTCGTTGTGTTACGGGATTTGATTCGCTGTTGGATGGCTATATACCCATAGGATGGAGATATTTTCACCGGCATATTTTCTGCCACCAGACGAGCCCCAGCTGGTGGGGGATGTGAAGGAGGCATTCGATAGGATGGCGATTCACGAGACTGGCGTCGAGATCCTAGCCCATTCCAACGGGACCGTGGTTGCCGGCTGGATCATCAAAGCTTTCCCAAAACTCGTCAAGAGGTCCTGTCTTTTGGATCCAATCTGCTTCGGTGAGTCACTAGCAACGCACCACAAACATGATGTTATAAACGGGCTAATAAATTGGGGATTGATCATCACCTGTGGATTTCGAATCTTGTAGCTTTGTGGTCAGTCCAACTGAACTTGATTTACGCCTCAGAAGTATTCAAGTTAACGGTTTTTTTTGTATCTTGCTTTGAACGATCAGGGAAGGCCATGTTTGCTATAAGTGAGCCAGGGATGATGATTAGAAACCACTACACAAGAAACTGAAGATCTAATGAATGAACTTTTTTAGCTTCTTGTATTCAAAACCAAAGACCGGCTTACAAAAACTATTGCGGTTTGGCATGGCAGACGAATTGGGGATTGCATTTTACACGCGACGAAGATTCAACTGGCCAGACGCGGTCTTGTGGCCTCATCAGGTTCCAGGATTCCGTGATCCCAAGCGCTTCGTAGTCCTTCTCGCGGGGAAAGATGACATCCTCAATGCCAGCAGGATTCGGCGTTACTTACTGGATGCAGGCATGTCGGACGCTTTTCCAATGCCACCTACAGACATCCCCAACTCCCCCCAACAACACAGTCGGCCACTCATTCAAGTTGAGATCGATAGACAAGACTCGTCTCCTACAAGAAGAAATACTCGCACACGCCAGCGGATCGGTAGTGGTGGAATTATCTTCGATCCCGAGAGTGCTCATGGCCAAACCTTACTCCCTGGGCATCCATACCTAAAAACAATTACTGGCTGGCTCGAAGGCAAAGGAATCCGGCTCAAAGACCACCCCAAGTAAGCTTTCGAAATGACAAAAACAATCGTGCCGGAAACTTGAAGAGTCATCAATTTCTTCAGGAGCCCGGACCTGCACTATCACCTGCAACAATTGTAATAATGATAATTCAACAACACAATTCTGTACACATAAATACATCATCAAAAAAAAAAATGTGGCGAGTTCCTCGTTTGTTCCTCCTGTTTGTTATGTATCTCGAGAGAAGCTGTTTGGAACGTAGATTCGGGAACAATCTGCTAATCACACATCAATGTCAATACTCCTATTCGCCTGTAAATCTTGGCCGGCGTTTCTCATTGAACGCTTTCAATCCCTCAATTCTATCTTTCGTTTCTAGAACTGTATTATAGCATTGTCGCTCAAAATCAAGCCCAGTTTGCCTAAAATTCCAAAAATGAAATTGTTTTGAAAGCTTTAGAGTACTTGCATTTACATAAGTCGAGTCATGAACAGTTATTGGACTCACAGATCAACCTCAGGACTGCGGTTGATGGCCAGTTTTGCTGCTTTGATGGCAACGGGACCTAGAGGAGAAGTTGAAGTAAAGAATGACCCAGTTTTAGGAAACCAACATCGTGCCGGACTAAAAAGAAAAAAAAACCCATACCATTCGGAAGAATACCCCGAGCGACTTCGCTTGCGTGGTCTGCAGCTGAGATATCAGCATCAGAGACATAATCCACGAGCCCTAGGGGATAAAAAAAAGACCATAAGCTTTCTAGTGATAGGAAGGGAAAGTAAAAGCTCTCACCTATATCTAAAGCCTGCTTGGCATCCAATATCTTGGCGCCAAATACCAAATCCTTTGTTTTTGATATGCCAAGCAAACGAGCAGCCCTCTGTGTCCCGCCAGCCCTTCATGTGAGATTCGAAATGATGATTTGTTTTCAGAGACTCGAAGGTCTTGAGGTCCACAACGTCGCACCACCCTTTTACTTCGAATTGGCATGGAGAACTCTTACCCCGGAATTATCCCCAGCTTGGTCTCTGTCAAACCAAGCTTAGTTGCCCCAGGTCCTAATTTCAGGCAGAATTCAACGTGCCAAATACGTCAAATGACTTCCAGCCTAGTCGCATACAGCAACATAAAAAACAAATGGGAATTTTCATTTTGACATAATGTGTTGACCTACCAGCCACGCGAAGATCACATGCCAGCGCTAACTCCAAACCGCCTCCGAGTGCGGGCCCGTCAATGGCAGCGATTGTGGGCATGGGAAGCGTGTCAAGCTCATGCAACGTGTTTCGAAGGTCGTGCAAGAATTTTGAGACTTCCACCTCACTCATCTGTCGACGTTCCTTGAGATCTGCGCCGGCACAAAACGAGCCCGGTACGGATGACCTCAAAATCAATACCCGAGTCCCATCGAATCTTACTTTGCCCAAGCAGCTAAACATCTGGTCTAAAAGTTCTATCGAAATCGCATTCTTGGCTTCTGGCCGGTTCAGGTTCAGATATGTGATCCCCTCTAAACCGGAATTCGCAGGTGGATGGTCCAAGTAAACCGTGGGCTGCGAGATCGAATAACTCCGCAGATACGCGCGCCATAGATGGGTGTTGGTTTCTGCTGACTTGCTTCTTGCCGGGCCATAATTCTTATGGATCCTCGCGATGGACGATTGATATCGATTCATTTTTGGAGTTCTTTCTTGCTCTTTTGCAGGTGGACACTTGGGAACGCCCGTGACGTCATCCCGGTCGCTCCTGTCCCCGATACCCGGACCGGGGATAGCCGCCATCAGCGCAGTGCGCAGCCGGTATCGAGAACCCACAGCTTGCGCACTTCGCAAAATACAAATAAATGCTGAGATCCGCCGGGCTTGTTAAACCTTTTTGCCATGAACAACGCTTATCTCGACTACGGTCGAGTTAACCTGATGTCTTTCCAAAAAGCACGCAGTATCTGACTTTCTAGATTCGTCTCCGGGCGGTCAAGAAGAGCTCCACTCAATCATTGCGCCGTCTTGACATCACAGACCGACCCGACTGGAACTTGGGTGCAGTGCAGCTTTCGTCGACTCTCCGTGAGGAGGCCTCGAGCTTGGAGTGCAATGTTCTAGCCTATATACTCATTCCTTTGTTTTCTTTTCTCAAGCATCGTGGAGTGGTAGTCAGAACCCCTCGATCAAATGCAGTCAAAAATCGTCTCTCCTGTATTTCCACACGCCAGAATTCTCAACTAATCTCCGTCCTTGCCTCTTTCGTTTCTTATGATTGATAATAATAGTATCACAATCTCTACTTGCAATGACATACGGCATAATCTCATCAAGGGCCAGCTCGCACTCGCCTGGTGAGACAGTAACGTGAAGATTATATCCGCCATTGTGGCGGCCATGGTCAAGACAGGATGGCCGAGTGGTTAAGGCGGCAGTTTTGAATCCGTCCTACGATGGCTCTCCAGCTGCTTCACTTTGTGAGCGTGAGTTCAAACCTCACTCCTGTCGATTGTTGCGCACTCTTCGCATACATTTTTGGTATTTTAAACACTGCCCTGATAAGATACTAATGTTTTGACATAAATCTGTATTTTGAGAGAAGGGCTACTCATTGTGTGTGCACAGTGTCAGGCACTGTCTGAGTGACACACAGGTCCATGCATAGTGAGAAGGCAATGGCTCCAGGTTGGTTAGAATGAGGAGAATCATAGATTTTCATACTCTTGTCCTGGCTTGTAAGCCAGGAATAAAACTGCCTAGTGCTGCGGCAAGTCCAAGGTTCTGCTGTAACACCATAGAGTTAAAACACATGGGAGCCTGGCTGAGAGTCAGGACCAGTGCCTGTGCCACCACCTCTTCCTCCTGTCATTCACAGGGGAGAGTTTAAGAAACACTGAAAGAAAAACCCACTCAATTACCTCAAGTTGGCATGCATGTTTCCTTTGTGCATAAAGGCTAGTTGCATGTCAACTGCAGGCAGTTGAGTAAGTTTTCTCACTGTGAAACAGTCTATCCATGGAAATTACCAAACTGAAATCCAAAGGATCTTCCCAACACACAAGCCCAGCAAACAAACAGATGAAGATAGATCTTGGATACACAGAGATACATATTATACAAAGCTGTCTCAGTAAACAAAGGCCATTATCAGATTGTCAGAGTGTTGTTTCCTTACCATAAATATCTGTTTTTTCCTTGTTCTTTTCCTTTTCTCTCATCACAATATTTTTTGTCTCTTTATCATCATCTCAATCAAATTAAAAATCATAGGCTTGTTAGCCATTTATCCTTTCTCAAAAAAAATGTTTCAGACCTTTCTATCATTTGAAAAAATCAAGTCATTAAAGAGGGAGCATTCATGACATGAAGGCATGTAGCTGAGTTCAAGCTGAAACATTGTTCCCACCTGCATCCTCACTGAAACCTCAGCTTGTTTCCCTTTCAGCTGATTTCCTCTCCAATTCTCTTCTTGAAACCACCCACAAGCCCAGGGG